CATTTAATCTTGTTGTGTGGTGTTACTTATTTTTCTGTTGCATCAGCTGTCTTGCTCTTACAGTATTCCATTGTAAGTGTATGTGTTTAACAAGGAGTCATGCAAGATGGCTTTTAATTTCTAATTCTCTTTCCTCCACATTTGGAGTACTGAGATTACAGGTGTCTTCCACTGTGCTGGGTTGATACCCTTCTAGGGATTGAGTTTAGTGCTCTGTGCATGCAGGATACTCTACCAAACAAACCTTATCACCAGTCCCTTTGTCTCTTTTTAAAAAATTTAATTATTTTTTAAAAAATTGAATGTGTATGAGTATTTTGTCTGCATGTGCCTGGTCCCTGCAAAGGCCAGAGGAGGGTGTCGGATCTCCTGGAACTTCAGTTGTAGACTGTTGTGAGCTTCCATATGGGTGCTGGGCATCCAACCTGGGTCCTCTTGAAGAGCAGCCAGTGCTCTTAACTGCTGAGCTGTCTCTCCAGCCCCCCATTGTTTCTTGATAAACTATTCTTCCTTTTGGAAAAATGATCTGAAATAGAATTACTGAGAGAAATGCTATGAATATTTTTTATGGCTCTTAAGATATCTTTAGGGGCTGGCCTTGCAGCCTGCTTCTTAAAATTTTATGTATTAAGAAATTCTAGCTGGGCGACAGTGGTGCATGCCTTTAATCCCAGCACTCGGGAGGCAGAGCCAGGCAGACCTTTGTGAGTTTAAGGCCAGCCTGGTCTATAGAGTGAGATCCAGGACAGGCACCAAAATAACACAGAGAAACTCGAAAAACAAAACAAAACAAACAAACAAACAAAATTCTAATGACACTGTAGAGGTTTCGAGGACTACCATGAAAATATCACAGATTTATCACTAATTACAGTTCTGAGGGTAGTGGTCTAAGATTGTATTAATATGGTTGTTCTCTTTTGAGGGCTTTTCCTTTATAAATCACACTGTTGTCTCTCCTTCCTCTCCCTCTCCTGTGTGTATGTGTGTATGTATGCGCGTGCACATGCCCCTGTGTATGTACATTCCTCTTAGTGAACCTGAAGCTCGCTGCTCAACCTGAAGCTCACTGCTCAACCTGAAGCTCACTGATTGGCTACGCAAGTGGTGTTGCCCCAACACCCCCACCCCGTCCCATTTTACTTTCTCCTCTCCCCAGCACTGGGAGTACAGATGCACTCTTTTTTTTTTTTTTTTTTTTTTTTTTTGTTTGTTTGTTTGTTTGTTTGTCTGCTTTTTGAGACAGTTTCTCTGTGTAGCCCTGGCTGTGCTGGAACTCACTCTGTAGACCAGGCTGGCTTCAAACTCAGATCCACCTGTCTCCTAAGCACTGGGAGCAAAGGCATGCGCTACCACTGCCTGGCCAGATGCACTGCTTTTAATGTGGATTCTGTGCATCCAAACTTGGGTCTTAAGTGTGAGCAGCAGAGCACTTTTTTTTTTTTTTTCTTCGAGACAGGGTTTCCCTGTGTAGCTTTGCGCCTTTCCTGGAACTTGCTTGGTAGCCCAGGCTGGCCTCGAACTCACAGAGATCCACCTGGCTCTGCCTCCTGAGTGCTGGGATTAAAGGTGTTGTCACCATCTCAGGGCTACTTCCTTCCATCCTTTTAAAGACAGTCTTACTCTTAGTCATGGCCTAGCCTGGTTATTGCTATGTTGCTCAGGCTGGTCTTGAAGTTGCAGTGATCTCCCTGCCTCAGTTTACCAAGTGCTAGGATTACACATGTATTCTACCATGCCAGTTTTGTTGAGGGAGTGTGATGTCTGTGCTGGGAATCATACCTACACTTGGTTCTGCAAATGCTCTGTCACTGTGTCAGTGATAACCTTGTTTCTAGTCTTCTTTCCTTATAAATATACTAGTCATGGATAGGGCCCACCCATATGGCCTCATTTTCTTTAATTACTTCTTTAAAGGTAATGCTACTAGAGACTTTTTTCTTTTTTTTTTTTTGAGACAGGGTCTCACTCTGTATCTCTCTGCCTGGCCTGAATTCCCTTCATCAGTCTGGCCTTGAATTAACAGAGGTTTGCCTTCCAAATGCTAGTATTAAAGGCATGTTGCACCATGCCTTGCACAGAACAAATTTTGAAGTAGTAGAGGTTGACTTCAACATACACATTTTGGTGAAGACCTAGTTTTCTCCATAGCAGTCAGTACAGTTCATGCCTTAAAACATTTTTATGGCATTTCTTTATAACTTCTGTACAGTTTTATATTGGGTGTATAGTTAGTCTTGCCTTTTGCTCCTATAAGCAAGGCTTCTGTGTGAACTCCTTGTTTTATAGACTATTATTATTATTATTTTTTTTTGAGGTAGACTTACCAATGGAATTGCCAGGTCAAAGAATATATGAAATTTGGATTTTTTGCCCTGGCATGGGAGATTTCTTGTTGGTTTTGACATACATGTAAACACATGCACAAAAAACTCATTTTTACTTTACTTTTAGGTGTATGGGTGTTTTCTTGCATGTGTATCTGTATACCACACATGTGTGGGGTGTCCCACAGAGCCCAGAAGGCATTGGATCCTCAGGGACTGGAGTTACAGGTGGTTATGAGCCCAACAGATGGTGTTGGTAATTGAACCCGGATCCTCTGGAAGACCAGCCAGTGCTTTTAACTGTTGAGCCATCTCTTCAACCTCTCACATACTTTGAAAATAAGCTTTGGTTAGGTGCACACACGTTTAATCCAGCAGGCAAATCTCTTGAGTTACAGGCCAGGTAACTCATAGTGAGAGCCTGTCTTGAAACAAAAAACACCCAACACCACCACTACCAACAACAGTAACAAAAACAAGCTCTGGCAGATATTATTTTAAAAGGTTTCCCAGATTTATTTTTCTCCCATCTGTTCTGACATGCTTCTCATATTGGAATGGACTGATTAGGTAGCCGTGTGCTCCTTCTGTAATATTTTCCACATACTGTGCCCAGCTTAGTATTACTGCTCTTGTAGTGATGGACACTAGTTTTGGTCAACACAAAACAGTATTCTGTTTCAGATTTCCTCACTGTTGGGGCACTTGTTGGCAAAAGTGACCCAGTTTGCTCTGCCCTTTCTGGTCGTCTTCAGAGTCTGCCTGTACCAGCTTATATTTTGCACTTTGCATAGCAAGTTGGAGCCTAGAGTTGATCCACTCTGGAGACGTTTTTGTTGTCTTTGTGGCTACCATTTTCCTTCTTAGGTGTGGATGGCCTTTAATCAAGGCTGCTGCCAAGATGGCTGAGAAACTGAAGTCTGGTCCTGGTATTTTTTTAAAGCAAGTGTTTGTGTAGTAGGCCCTAATAGTTTGAGGACAATTCTAACTGTAATCTCCTCATCAAATAGTTTGTTAATATTTACTTCATTTTCAGGAGTGTATATTTGTCTTTTACTTCATGGTATAAAATCCACCTTGCTGTGACAGATTGCTTAATTAAGAGTCTTTTAAGTTTTTTTTTAAATTAAAGATATATTTTTATTTTATATGTATGGGTGTTTTGCTTGCATATGTGTCTATGTACCATGTGTACATTGCCCACAGAGGCCCCTGGAGTTGTAGTTATAGATGATTTTTAGCCACTATATGGGTGTTGGGAGTCAAACCTGGGGGTCCTCTGGAAGAGCAGCCAGTGCTTTTAACCACTAAGACATCTTTCCAGGCGCCGTTTGCTTTTTGAGACAGGGTCTTACTCTGTAGCCCAGGCTCTCTTAGAATTCACTATCTTGCTCATACTGGTCTTGAGTCCACAGCAGTCCTCCTTCCTCAATTTCACACGTGCTGGTGGATTATAGAATGCCACTGTGGCTGCTCTTACCTGAATTATTTCACACGGATAATGGGCATGCATACCTGAGAGTGAAGTACTGTATATGGGAGTAATCCAGTTAATTCTCACCGGCTATATGGTGATACCGCTGTGTTCCTTCACAAATGAAGTGATGACATTCACATTGTACAGTCACACACATGTGGCTAATGAGTTTTATGCCATTTGATTTGAAAATTAATGATGCAGCTGGTGGTAGTGCACGCCTTTAATCCCAGCACTGGGGAGGCAGAGGCAGGCGGATCTCTTGAGTTTAAGGCCAGCTTGGTCTACAGAGTGAGTTCTAGGACAGCCAAGGCTACACAGAAAAACCCTGTCTTGAAAACAAAACAAAACAAAACAAAACAAAACAAAAAACCAACTCATGATGTTTGCTGTTAGTCTATCCTTGGGCATATATGGGAACTAGATTTTTGTGACTAATAATACTGTCTCCCCCCCCCCCCTGTAAAATAGAGGTAGGCTATAATCCTTTCTATACCACTCCTAGTCATTGGGCTACAGATTACAGATACAAAGTTTAAGTTGTGTCTGAGATCAGAATGAGATTTTCCAAAGGAGTGATCAGATTTGACAACCTTGGCAGGTGCAAATAAGGAGAGTTTTGAGTTCTCCTTATTAGTAGTTACAGCTATAGTATAGGGCTGTTTTGGTTTCTGTAAGTTTAAATTGGGGATAACTATAAGGTTCCGGTTACTCAGCCCTGTGCTGGTGCTATACTAGTTGCTTTATATGTATTAGCTTGTTTCTTTTTGTAGCAATTCTGTGAAGTAACTTCATGGGATATATAGGACCCTATCAGGAAAAATAAACAGACTGGTGAGGTGACCCAGCAAGCCTGACACCTGAGTTTAGATCCTGGAATCAATGGTGGAAGGAACGAACTGAGTGGTAAAAGTGGCCCTCTGACCTCCTCGTGCAACATGGCACACGAACACATTGTACACACATACATACAATTATAATAAATAAAAAATCTAAAAAGTTAATGTTACTTGCCGTTGAAAATTTCATACTTCCCCAATATTTATTACTTTAGATAACAAACATTTTAAAGGTATTAAACATTTTAAATTTTTTCTTGCTCTGTATTGCATTAGATGCTGTGAGAGGGAGACAGAGAGGAGCCTAGTCCTTTCAGAGAGCAAACTTGTATTAGAATGAATGAAAGTGCCTGGGGATAAGGTAGCTTGATTGTGTGATTTATTTAGTGGGTGAATACCTACTATGTGGCCAATATTCTGGACATAAAGCAGAGTCCTTGCCCTTGAGGATTTAGTGGAAAGTATCTTATTTTTAGTACCTTTGCTCCTTCCACCATCATGTGGATCCCAGGGATGGAACTCGAGTTGTCAGACATGGTAGCAAACAAAATTTACTCAACTATCTTGTTGGATCTGTCTCTCTTGCTGCAGCAGTATAAGTAAACAAGATAATTAAAAATTACAACCGTATTATAGGGAAAATAAACAGTGCTATAGAGTGTAAGGAGGAGGTATATTAGTTACTTTTCTACTGCTGTGATAAAACGTCATGATCAAGATCACTTACAGGAGAAAGGGAGTATATGGGCTTCTGTTCCAGAAGATTAAGAGTCCACTGGGAAGCATGGCAGCAGCAGGCATAGCATCCGGAGCAGGAAGCTCAGAGCTCACGTCTTAAACCACAAGCAGGAAGCCGAGAAGGAGAAAACGAGGAAAACTCAAAGTTTCTTCCCTGCACCCCAAAAAGACTTCCTCCAGCAAGGCTACATCTTCTAAATTTACCCAAACAGTGCTACCAACTGGGGACCAAGTCTTTAAACTTCTGAGCCTATGAAGGACATTCTCATTCAAACCACCACTGGAGGAAAATATGACTTTGGACCAGGTGGTCAGGAAAATTTCCTGAATATGTGATTTAGACTGAGATATGGGGAATGATGAGAATCATCTGCCAGACCAGTGGGAAGGAGGTGGGAGAGTTGACTCAGTGGTTAAGAGCACTTGTTGCCCTAGCAGAGGACCTGGGTTCAATTCCCAGCACCCATGTGGTGACTCAAGACTACCTAATTTGCAGTCCCAGGGAATCCAGTGTTCTCTTTTAGTGCCCATATTCACTTGCACACGTGGTGGTACACATACATGCAGACAAAACATGTATACAAAAAAAATAATCTTAAGAAAGTTATTTTTAAACGAATAGTGAGAAGCCGGGCGGTGGTGGCGCACACCTTTAATCCCAGCACTCGGGAGGCAGAGCCAGGCGGAGCTCTGTGAGTTCGAGGCCAGCCTGGTCTACAGAGTGAGATCCAGGATAGGCACCAAAACTACACAGAGAAACCCTGTCTCCAAAAAACAAACAAAAACAAAAAACAGTGAGAAAGGGAATGTTGTTAAAGACAGGCAAGCCTGGCATGTCTGAAGCACGGAGAACAAAGGGTCAGGGGAAAAGATGAAAGATTTAGAGCCAAAAAGGGCCTTGCTGTGGAAACTCTTTGTTTGGGCTGTGATAGTGAAATACCAAGAACTAGGTAACACAGAAGCTAATTTCTCTTAGGCTGGAAGGTGGGATATTCAGGATCAAGGCAGATTGTTTCTTGTGGGGCTGAGTAAACAAATGCTTTCTTGTTGCTCTTTTATCCACTAGTTAGTACTTAATCCTCTTCCCTGAGGTCCCTCCTGATGCCATTACTTACCATAAGATTTAAGGTTTTGTCATGAGATTTGGAGAGGGATTCAAGCATTCAAACCATAGCAGGAGGTCAGACAGCTGGCAGCTTTTGAAATCTAGAAGAAGTAGGGGAGGTTTTGCAGAGGTGAGGTTTTGGGTGGAAGGAAGGTTGGGTGATGATTTGAAAAAAGGTAGACTTTGAATAAGCACAAATCATATTGGACAATTGAAGTGGCTGGTCATCGATTAATAATTTATCTTGGCAGTGCGAGATTCTTAGAAGCAAAGTAAAAGATTGTAGCCCTGCTGCCCTCAGTCTGTCTCAGAGCTGAAGTAAATGCAGCTGTTACCTGGTATGTGTTACCTGATTTTTTAGATGAAGTGTGTGAAGATGCACCTTTAATCCACATTTTTTGAGGTGGGAAAATCTACCTTTGATCTGGGCCACAACTTCTAGTACATTTTATATAGCACATGGAAGAAGCTTTCGCTCTTTGCCTGCTTACTCTTGATGGCAAGTGCATTCCTTCACTGGTATTAGAGCCTACCTCTTCAGAATTCTGGTGTATACTAAAGACCTGCTGAGACATCCAGCCTTGTGGACTGAACAGTTACTAGATTCTTAGACCTTCTGTAGGTTGACTGACTGTCTTTCTGTCTGTCTATCTCTGTGCTTATCTGTCTATCCATCTCTATGCATATCTGTCTATTTTTAGATAGATAGATATTCCTCTAGAGAACCTTGACTAATCCAAATTATGGTACCAGAAGTGGTTTTAGAGCAACAGAAGTATAAGGATGGATATTTTAAGTATCTGGAATAGGCTTTCCAATTTGCCAATACCTCCAGTTACTGAAGCTTCTCCAGTTACTGAAACCTCTCCTAGAAGCTCAAAGAATATTGAAAGCCCATGGTACGAACTATTTTACAAACTTAAGGAAAACGAATGCATTTATTATCCTGATTCAGTAATTTTGTGATAATAAAGTATTTGGTGACTCTGTATATGAAGCTTTTGACAATTTGTAGAAAAATAAGGAAAATGATGATGCTGATTGGTTGTTCCTAGCATCCCTGGATAAATTGACAAAAGAAAAGAATGAGCTCCATGATAAAATTAACCAACTTCAGCCAGATGGTGGTGGCACAAGCCTTTAATTCCAACACTCTTTTGGGGCAGAGGCAGTCGGATCTCTGAGTTCAAGGCCATCTTGGTCTATAGAACGAGTTCTAGGACAGCCAAGGCTACATAGAAAAACTCTGTCTTGGAAAAAAAAAACCCCAAAACAAACAAAACAAAAATTAACCCAACTTCTAGCATCTCAGAATATGGTGAAGGACAACAATAAACTCAGTGATAGGCTCCAGATGTGCACAGTTTAAAGGTTTCTAAGTGTGCCCTGGAAGAGAATCTTCTCTCTAGCAGCCACAGAGCTCAAGTTGTGGAAAATGAAACCCAAGCTCTTATTATAAGACTAGCTGAATTATAGTGAAAATTCAAGTCCTGTGATGGTTAAAGTAAGGGAATAAATTAACAAAGAGTGGGATTCTGTAGCTTGGGATGGACATATGTGGGAAGACCCTATTGAGGTTGAGAACTTTGAATTCTCAGATTCGCAAGTGTTGCACAAATCCTAATTAGTCTCAATAAAAACCCAGAGCCAGATTATCTGAGCTGAAAGATCAGAGAAGCAGAGCAAGCCTCAGCTACCACCTCTTAACCTCACGAATTCCTCAGCCTGAAGGAGCCTGAGTTTCTGTCTCCTCCCGCCTTATATTCCTTTCTCTGCCTAGCCACATCACCTCCTGTCTCAGCCTTCCTAGTGCTTGGATTAAAGTGTATGCCACCACTGCCTGGCTCTGTTTCTCTTTTAGAATGGATTAGTCTTGTGTAACCCAGTGTGGCCTTGAACTCACAGAAATGCAGATGGACCTCTGCCTCTGCCTCCCAAGTGCTAGGATTAAAGGTGTGTGCCACCACTGCCTGACCTCTGTCTGTGGCTAACTCTGGCTGGCTCTGTCCTTTGATCTTCAGGCAACTTTTATGTCTTAGATTACAAACAGTGTATCACCACACCCAAGGGTTTATCTCAGCTGAGGAAATAGTCTTTCCACCTTCAGCAGAAGATGTACTCACTTCCCACCCCCTAAAATACTGCCTTTTCCACCTTTGACTGGGGAAATTAATCTGTCATTGTCTGCTAAACCAGCAGTGACTTTCCCCGAAGATGATGCCAGGCAAGACAATACTGATGTCCTTCAAGGCTACCAATTGTGCCTCTTGACCTATAAGCAAATTAAAGGCTTGGAACTTTGGGCTGGAAAAGCCATTAAGTGTTCAAGGCTTGGTGAGTTGTTCTGTAGAAGCTTTGAAGGTAAGAATGTTAAGAGCAATGCAGACAATGGAGGCTTGCCTGTGAAATTTCAGAGGGAAGTTGGAGAGTCCCTTAATGACTCTGTCAGGGCTGTTTGCTATTTTGAGTTAAGAATTTGTGATTCTGCTTTGCTGGGGCTGAAGAATCAGCTGTGATTAACAAGATAGTAGAACCACTAAAGAAAAACCTTTGTTTTGCTGGGATATTTGATGCTGGTCAGCTGGGGAATAGTGCATACCTGGGGCTCAGTGTTGGTCTCTGCTGTTGGCAGATCTGGCACTCAGCAGCAGCTATAGCCAGGTCAGCCTTGGTGAGTGGAACTCCATGTTGTCTATCCTATGCATAACCCCCATCTCTGCCACCATGGCCACTTTGTTCATGGGACCATTGGGCAACAACAGGGATGGCTAGAGAAAGAGGCTGACTGTCCAGAGAATGGACCATCCTATCTACTTGATTATCCTCTGCTGAAGTCATCTTTTGATGAACATTTACATGGGACACAGGTGTCTTCACATCCTTTGTCCATTTGGAGAAGTCCATTACATCTTCATCAGATGTTTTCTCATCAATTTTCCAATCATTCTCTTTCTAGTCCCTAACCAGCCAGCCAGTCTATTGGCTATAGCAAATGAATAATCTTAACATCTAGTCATTTTTCCTTCCAAACAAAATGAATGACCATGTGTACTGCTGGAAGTTCTGCCCATGGGATGATTTCCCTTCGCTGGTGTTTTTCAGGGTTATCCTGAAAAAGGATATCCAGAAGGGTTGCAGCTGTCCACTTCTGGGTGGAGCCTATGTAAGGTGTAGAACCATCAGTAAACCAGGCCCAAGTCTTCCTAAGAGAGTAGAATTGTTGCCTCCCTTCTCTTTTGCTTAGTGGGGATTGAACCTGAGAATATGCAAGTTAGGCCTGTGTTCTACTTCTGAGTTCCTGTTGATCTTTCTGAATAACTGTTGAGAAAGGCATCAGTCATCAGTGATGTCAGGAAGAATATATGGAAGTGATAAATCCATACTGTCTGTACCTAGTAGGCTTGTTGTCTCTAGGGGGCATGAACTTTGTTCCATACATTAGAGATGGCTTTGTATGGTGTAAAGTTTGGCACATATCAGATTCTCAATAAAATCTGTTGAATGAGTGAAAAAAATTAGAGAGGGAGAATTTTAATTTCCATTCTCTTAATAAAATGTTTTATGGTATCTTTATACATTATTGTGTATTGTTTTCTTTTTTTTTTTTTTAAGATTTATTTATTTAGTATACAGAAGAGGGCGCCAGATCTCATTATAGATGGTTGTGAGCCACCATGTGGTTGCTGGGAATTGAACTCAGGACCTCTGGAAGAGCAGTTCAGTGTTCTTAACCTCTGAGCCATCTCTCCAGCCCTGTGTATTGTTTTCAAACTGTTTTGAAATACCAAGTTGAAAATTATATAGCTTATTTAAATATTTAACAATTGACTTGAAAAAAAAAAGTGCTGGGGATTGAAATCAAGGCTTTATGTGAAGCACATTGTCTACTAATGAGCTGTACTTATTTAAGCAAGCCCCCACCCTCCCATTTTATGGTAGCTCAGGCTTGCCTCAGATAAGCAGCTGGGATGGCCTTGAAATTCTGACATACATGCTTTTGTTTTCTTAGTGCTAGGATTATAGGCATTTGCTATCATGCCCAGCGGGTTTTTTTTTTTTTGTTTGTTTGTTTTTTGTTTTTGTTTGTTTATTTGATTTTTTTTTTTTTTTTTTGAGACAAGGTTTCTCTATGTAGTTTTTGATGCCTGTCCTGGATCTCGCTCTGTGGAACAGGCTGGACCCGAACTCACAGAGATCTGCCTGGCTCTGCCTCCCAAGTGCTGGGATTAAGGGTGTGCACCACCGCCATCTGGCAAAAGATTTAATTTTTTTAAGTATATCAGTGCTCTGTCTGCATATACACCTGCATACGAGAGGAGGGCCATCAGATCCCACTGTAGATGGTTGTGAGCCACCATAGGGTTGCTGGGAATTGAACCACTGAGCCATCTCTCAAGTTATGCCCAGCTTTTTGTTTTGACTTTTGAAGAATTCCCGTTTACTGATGGTTCTGAAAACTATAAAGTTAAAACAACTCTATGTGTGACATAAATATGCATGAATGTGCACTCACATGTACATTTTCATTATATAGCCTAGATTTGCATCAAATTCACCCTTTTGCTGAGATGACAGACATGTACTACCATTTGTGTAAAGTTTAGAGTTGGAAAAGAATGGCGTGATACACATATATTAGCTTTCTGGCTTTGAGGCAAGTCTTTCAAGCCATACTTTTCTCCTTTCCTCTTTTTCTCTATGGAGCCTAAGGGCTATACAGAACACTGTCCTGGAATTTGCTGTAATGTTCTATTCCTGCCTCTGCCTCCCAGGTGTTGGGACTGTAGGTGTGAGCTGCCTCACCTAGTGCTTAATTTTCTTACCTAGAAAATTAGTTCATTAAAAGACCTTCCATTCTAACTTTCTCATTCTTTGTCTTGAGTAATATTTGGAGAATTAATACAATAAGTTGAAATATGTAATCCAGTGTTCAAAAACAGTTAACAGTGTATTTCTTGTTTTGGGAAAAAAGGTAGCTATGGTGGAGGTATAGAAGAAATGTTTGGGAACTGAGGATGTAGTTCAGTTACCTAGCATGTACAAAATTCTGGCTTCTATCCCTGTCTCTGAGGCCAGTTGGGGATACATGAGACTCTGTCAAACTTGTTTTTTTTTTCAAGACAGGGTTTCACTGTGTAACAGTCTTGGCTGTCCTGGAACTCACTCTGTAGACCAGGCTATCCTCAAACTCAGAGAATTCTGCCCCTACCACCCAAACGCTGGGATTAAAGGTGTTGTCACCACCTTCTGGCATCAAGCTTTTTGGGAGGAATTCCCAAGCAGTGTTGTGTTCTTAGTAGGATATTTGCACCACCTCACATGTTGAGTGATGTAGAGCCAAACAGGACAATGTGCATGCATGTAAATTTGGACTGTTTTATAGTATGAGCACTTTATGTGTTTATGTGTACATGTGTGAGGCCAGAGGTGGATGTCAAGTGTCTTTCTCACTTTCCATCTTTTATTTTTGGTCCCCCACCCCAGGGTTTCTCTATATTAACAAGCCCTGGCTGTCCTGGAACTCACCATCTAGAACAGGCTAGCCTTCCTCCTGAGTGCTGGGATTAAAGGTGTGCACCATCATGCCTGACTGTAAAAAAAAAATTTTTTTAAAAGTTGCATATAGATATCTACCACAATTTATGCTAAGGTTATGTAAACTGCAGTCTCCAAGGATTAGACA